AAGGAATTGAATAATGAGGTTAGCCAAAAAAAAAAAAGTTGTAAGTTCCTGAGAGCGGGCACTTCACTGGACAATCATAGAGCAATTATTCTTCCTTTTCTACCTTTTTTTTGTGTAATATGACTTATAAATGGCATAGTTCTGGGTTAAGGGTAGTTCAATAGGCAGTCAATGGGACTTACAGCAATTAAAAGTGCTGTCGGGATGTTCCTCCTTAAGATTTTATCGTTGTTGGCATATGGGAAATAAAGGTTATGCTTCCTTCCATGCGACAATCATTCGTAATTAAACGTTTCGCTTTGAAACATTTGTTTCTCTAACACATATTTTAACATATCCAAAATCAAGCTCATCTACAGCTTAGTTTCATTGCTCACGATCATTCATCATCGATGGCTCTACGAGTATGCAAATATTTCGTATGCTGTCAAACCTCGCACATTGCAAAGCGTTGAAAATATGTGCAAAGAGCCATTAGTCAGCCGCTGAGTCTGAGGCACGGCCTCAATCTGGAGACCCCAGACTTCGCGTTCTTTCAATGTTGGCAAACAACCGCCGGAGCTGGGCTGGAGCGGGGGATTAGGTGAGGTAAGCTTCGGCGTTGTCCAATGGCAATTGGTTTAGCATCATCAGCATATCATCATCAACATCGATAGCGTCCTCTGGTTAATGCGAAATAATTACAACTTGTTCGCACATCATTCACAAGAGCTCAGAGAAGTGAAAAATATAAAGTATCTGTCAGCACGTTGTCTGTCCCCGACAGTGCAGCTGCCCCACCACCCCTCAGTCCGCTGCGGTGTCGCTTTCATTTGTTTGCCAAATGACGAATGTGGCCGCTGATGATGACGAAAACTGAACTCAAGTAAAAAATACACGAGTGCTCTAATCGGGAGTGCCCGCCCAGTAGATACCCTTATCGCGTCGATCATTCTTGTTTACAGCACATATAAAATGTTCAGAGCCTTTATAAGGTATACCCCTTAATGGGATATATACAGGATATACCTTGATTTTTTGTAGAGTTAAGAAAATTAAGGGAGATATTCAAATAAACGAAATGCTTTTAATGTGCAAATAATTAACGAGAAACAACATGCCAAGCTTAGAGTATCTGTTTAATATATTATTTCAGTTATTCCCTAAAAAGTTTGACTTAAAATCTATAAGATAGCACTTATAATTAATATTTCAGTCTCTAGCTCATGCAGTTGGCCGCGAATACAAAAAGGCGTACATCGTTTGCGACGTCATCCTGATCCTTCTATCTGTTAAATATATTATGCCTTACTAGCCATTTGCAATGGGTTTAGGGTATAAAAAATGTAAGAAAGAAGAAGGCGACACTTGCTTCATTTATTTGTATTTTGCAGCAGTGGGCGCAAAAGTCGGCAAAATTTCAAAGTCGGCATCATTAACACCAATGCGCCATTTTGGTTTGGGCTCGATGAGTCGTTGGAGTCGATGTCTCGACGAGTCGTGCTGTTGATTGATGTAGTATGTTACATTGTGGCCGAGCCGCGAGTCGAGTGAGTGAGTTTACTAAATTGTTAAACCAGGCCAGCTGGTAACTGACTGCTACCCTGTAGAAACGCCCCAAGGGTCTGTAGCTACCGTCTCTTGTTGTTTTAGTGTCGTTCGTCTATGCTAATTTGTTATTTTAAACATGTTTGTTTGCTTTTCCAATGAAAATATTGACAAAAAGGTTACGGCAGGCAGGCCCAGTAGATATTTAAGAAATGCTGTATATATAGTATGTATATATATATATATACAGTCAGGGGTAACGGCAACAACAAACAAGCGAGCCAATTAACGCAAAAGATACAATTTGAATTCGTAATGAATTTCGTATAGAGTTTTATTTTGGCCAAGTCGATGAGGGTAAATTAATAAACAAACAATTAATGTGCAATTGCAAAAGTGGACTAAAGTAATTTAGAAATTTCTTGGCATATATGGGTAAAAGAAAATACTTAAAATATTCTCTTAAATATATATATATACTTACTTTAACTTAAAATATATCAAATTATCTTCTAAAATGCTCAGCTGTTGAAAAAACGAAACGAAATTTAATGGTAATATTTTACTATTAAAATCTGTTACATGAAAGCACATTTGAAATTTTGTACATTTTCTTTACATATTGAATAGACTTTTCAGCAATTGATTGTCATATCTTAAGATAGGCTCAGCTTAGATGGCTCTTGTTCATATTCAGGTATATATCCTAGAAAGTCATACATGTATGCCAAGTACTATTGAGGGATGAACATGAATCGAGTTGCGGCTTGTATTTTGCAAGATCATGATCATAATTTTCGAATCGAATTGCTCTAAGTAGACCTCATTAAGGGTTGACTTATTAATGTAATGCAAATTATAATTAATTGCTGTCGAATGAGTTATTATATTTGGCAATTGTAGCTTATTAAATTACTTGATTTTGCTTCATTTTTCGGCTATTCCAAGTCTTTTTTTAGAATATTTTTGGTTTAATAAGTGATCAAGGATAGGGATTCCGTGCTAGTTGACATATGTTTCAGATAGGCTTTCACATTCCACCACCCTCAGTGCAAGTTCCCTTTATCAGGGGCCACAGATCAAAGGACTGACACATTTTGTTGCATTTCATTAAACGAATGGCTGGCGCCTGTTGCCGTCAAAACTTTCCCACGTTTGCCGCCTACCTAAGAGATTGGGCGAGGCGAGGCGAGGCAAAGCAAGGCGAGCGCAGATACCACGCAAAGTCGTTACGTGCAACGCGAGGCCAGGTCGAGCTGCAACACTTCCGCAGCTCATTTTTGTCACCGGAAAGGTAAATCACGAATTTGTAGGTTTTGCTGACCGCGCAACAAGCGGAAATTTGTGTTGGCCGTTTGGGGTGAAAATTATAGAAAATACGCGCAGCTTTTCAAGTTTTTCCGCGCGCACATTTCCACCCCGAATGACAAAAATATTTTTAATGCTATCCATGGTGGTGGTGGTGGTGGTGGTGTCGGTGTTGTTGTTGTTGTTTGTGCCAAGTGCTTGGCTCGGCGTCTAGCAACCACCGCGAATCGCGGCCTTTTAATTGCATTCGATATGCGCTTTTGGGAAATTTCCCACGATTTTCGTGCAAGATTTTTCCAAGGTAAGTTAGCTGCACTCGCAGATGCGGCGATAAGCTCGGCTGCTGGCCCTCCCTCTACCCCAGCCCCTCTCCCGCTTGGCTCAATACGCAATGCTCATCAACATAATCACAGTCATACATGGACTCTCATCCTCATCATAATCAACATTCTGCCCGCTGATTGTTTTCGCGACTGACCGCGATGCATGGCAAAGGGGTTGGGGGTTGATCGAAGGAACGCCTCTAATCTAAATAGCTGCACACACACACGCACACACACACACACCTTGGACAACGGTTAGATTCCTTAGCGTATTCTGAGATTTGTGTGACTCATAACGAGTTTTTCGTATTGTTCTAAATGTTTTCGTTATTCGCTTCGCTTGGACCTTAAGTGGATCGGTATGAAGATCGGGATCGGTATCGCGCAGGCGCTGCTAATGCCTGGCCATTGTTTGGCACCTCGCGAATGCCTTGGCATCCTTTGTTTAGCGCCAGCTGCCGCTTTGTTTGCCCATGGACAGCGGCGAGCGCCCATGGCCGAGCCTATTAATCCAGTTCCTGTTTTCTACTTTAAGAGCAGCAGCGGCCGAGCTAGTTGAGGATTCAGTTACGCCAGCTTAAAGCGGCGTCCAATTGAGGCAAGAGATACTTTATGTAAATTTGATAAGTATTATAGTTACTTTTTTAATCCAGTTTAAATCGAGCCTGGTTGTTCTTTCGGATATTAAAAGGGGTAGCATTTATAACTGAAAAGTGTTGCATGAAATATGGACAGACACTCGAGATTTATTGAAGAAAAGTGTTTGCATTATGGCTTAAAGAATATATTATTTACAATGCATATATACGAGGCATAAATATTTACCTTTCATTTCACTTTTGCCAGTTTTCTTATTCCTCTACTTGTACTCTTTTTTGCAAGTTTTGAATTTTTAAACTTAATTTTCTCGAATTTATTCATACTTAGTTTTCGATCAAAATTTCTATTTTATATAAGTTCAAATCTCTTCATAAGCAACCCCACTGGCTTTCCTTTTTTTTTATTTAATATGTATTTTGCTTTAAAGCATATCGTAAAATTTGCATGAATAAGAAAGTCTTTTTAAATACTAAATATAAATAAGAAAACAGGAAGCTTTAAAGCCACAATATTTAAACAGCTTGCATTGCCAAAAGATGATTATCAGTTCCCGCGGGTAACATGTGTACAAATTATAAAACCGAAAATAAATAAACAGAAATATTTAATTATCAGTTTCGGATGGTTGAGATGTGAACAAATCATATTGCGCATATCAAATTTTAACTATTTCGAGTATTATAACAAAGCTAAACAATTTAATTTATTATATATTTGGTTGATTATACCAAAAGCGTTAAAATATATATTGAAAAATGTTCCCCGCTAAAAAATATTCTTTTTGTTTGCTATGCAGAGCTATATTGTATTGTCTTAGTTGTATTTTAAATTCTGAATGAAGGCTTTCCCCAGATGCAAATTATGCACTCTTTGTAGCTGTAATTCGCAATTGAATTGTTTCAATTGAGTCACCTGCTTATATAAACAAAAGTCAGACAATCCCTGTCTATAACAATCGAAAAACATTGTCTGTTTCTTATTTATATCACTTGGATTTACATTGTTTGGGACTGGCACATGCCTCGTTAAACGGGTAACACGCGCTCCTCTACTCAATTCAATTGAATAAAAACATGCATACAGATGTATATAGTATTTATGCTTTCATAAAAACAATAAAAAACTGAAAAGAGCTTATACAATAATAAAGCGTTTCAAAGATGTTGTGAATCCATCATCAAGAACATGTAGGGCTTCACTGAAAATATGGAGCACTCCGTAATAAAATTTAGATAAGATATGTTTGAATGTGGATTGGGCTTTCTTCCAAATTCCAAAGAATTGAATTGAGTTTATTAATGTACCAAGTTATGAAAGTTTGAAAACATTTCTTAAACTACGCACAACAATTCTTCAAAGACGATCCCAAATATTTTTCAAGGATAATACATTTACTATATTCCTAAGCATACATAGCTCTACCGCCAGGGAAGTTCCCACAGAGTATGACTTCCCCGAACAAAGTAGAGATGTTTCGCAATTTGTTTACATAGTTCGAGCTAAGCCTGAAACATGAATTAATTTAGTAATTAAATAATCATATCTCTAATGTACTCACATTTGGAATATATACGGCTTTTAGGCTGCCAGGGCTTTTCCTATTTTTGCACAATCTAAAGATTCATTATGAGTCGAGGAAAGCGCCAGGATGCGCTCGTGGAGTATCATTTGGCCGAAGAACAGCAAAACACTCAGAAAGATATACTCATTCTTGGGCACATCAAACTGCCGATCGTGAATTATGGTAGCCGTGTACATGATCATCGTAACAGCAGTGATAGCAAAATAATTGCGTACAACTGTGTATATGGCGCTGGTCTCGAACACGTAGGCATTGAGAAAGAATATGATCAGCATTATATTTGAGAGAGCAACGCCGAGGCTGAGCATCAGGTCGCCAGGCACCATACGCATTGGAAAGTAAGCTCCATAGAAAATGGAGGTGACCACCACGAAAACCACAATAAGGCCCGCATACAGATTAACGAGCACTCCCTTAGTGTTTTGCTGCTCCACGGCAATGTATAGGGTCGAGGTCTCCACGATGAGCAAAACTAGGGCCATATTCCAGGGGAACTTGCGTCCAAATGGCGTACAGGATAGCACGCAAATACCAAAAAATGTGCCCATTAGCCAAAACCCATATCTTACCGGCGGCACTTTATGCTTGCGCCAGTCCGAGAAGTATCCAATTATGATCCACTGGAGTAGCGCAACTGCGGCAAAGACCGCACTCAACAAGTAGATGCGCATGCCGTGACGTATGTTCAGATCGGGTGGTATGCCATATACATCCGGCAGTTCAGGATGCATTTGAGTATATTCGCCCTAACCAATTTGACAATTGAAATCAGAGATTGAAAAATGATCCAGGGCAAAGGAAAACAATCTTAGAAATGTTTTAAAACAAAAAAAAAAAAAAAGAAAAAAGAACAACAATCTAACTTCTCCAAATTTTGACACCTGAACTATATGATATAAATGCTTAATGCTGACTGAAATTTTTCGGTCTTGTGTTTTATTTATTCGGATAAATTTAATTTACCTTCCTTATTGCAGGTACCTATCACCTGTTTTTAAATATAAGTGGTAGTAGTAAAAATATGATATGCAGATGAAGACCGTCACAAAGTCAATGAAAACGCTGACGGCGCAAGACGGCAAATCAAACAGTGGCACAATTTGTAGGCGACCGTGTATATACTGTGCATGAAAGGGTATTACTAAGACCAGTAAGCAGAATAGCAGGACAAAGAAAACGAAGCCGTAGACTGGGTCCCTAAGGAAAAACATGAGAAACGCGAACACCAGGAGCACTATCATAATTAGGATCATTAGACATCCAGTTAGTAGACCACCCGGCAGAATTACCAGCGGGCACATGGCGCCACAGACGTGCAATATCACGATGACAGTCAGTGTAATTACCATTCCACAAACAAGTATAAGTGGGTTGTATAGGCGCATAAAACAGCAGCCGCCTAGAGTTAAAAATGCTACGATGCACACAACTAAGATCCAGTTTAGGGGAAAGATATAGCGCACTCTCGGGCACCAGTGGAATATAATGAACGTTACGAACGTCAATATAAACCACACATAAATAGGCACCTTCGTCTCCTCGATGAAGTCGAAATCCAGAATCGAAATGGTCAACCAGGCGGCGCACGTGATCAGAACGAAGACAGTGGAAATCAAGTAAACTTTGCGTACAAATGTATGGAACACTTCTTCGGGAATGACTACCACAATCCGATTCTGGTCCTGTTCGCCAAGCGGTCGGCCCCCACGCGAGAAAACAATTTGTGGCTCTTGCTGTTGTTGCTGCTGTTGTTGCATATATTGCTGCATCCGTCGTTGTTCTTGCTGTTGCTGTTGTCGCTGCAGTTCCCGCAGTTGCTGCATTTGATCTGACTGCTGTGCACTCTGATAGCTCGGATGCATGTTGTCGTTATTGTTGTTGTTGTTATTAACTTAACCTTAAAATTTTTGATTCCATACGTTAAACAATATATTATTATAGCTATAATTATTGTGATATTGACAGTCATATCGAAGCTGCTTTATGAAAAAGTCTTGGTTTTTCATATATTTTTGAAAATCAATTTAGTTGCGTGTCTTAACATTTCTCGAACATAGCTAACATTCTTTAACTACTAACAAATTCCTTGATTTTTTGCGTTTTTTTCATATATAAATTATAGCTTATATTTGTGTATCATTCATTGAGACATGTTTTTTTTTTTTGCTTTTGTAAAAATTAACCAAATTTATTTCTTTATCATTGATCGATTCTGAGAGTTTTCTAGTTTATTTTATTATTTAAAATATTTTCTTTATATATATAAAAATTACGAAATTGGTTAATGATTTCTATTAGTGGAAATACATTTTATTTATTGAGAATATCTATGGCGCCCATTTGGGATTGGAGGCGTTACAAATACTGGAGTTATCGACGGGCAAAAAATGTAGTCAAATGGGATCAGCTTAGACGGTGGATTATATATGAAATCATAATAAATTTACTTATTAAATTAAACAAGGATAATTATTAAACATATATACATATACAATTACACTATTCGATTAAACACATCTGACATCCGCAAATATTCCTTTATAATTTACTGCTGATTGACGCTCACCATTTGTGCACCCAGATGAGGTAGTAGAACGCCATGAAGAATAGACTGAAATGCATGTAAATGATAACTGCACAGCTCATGAATGCCTCCTTGGGTAGCCTATATCTACGGCCATGTATGACTTGGGCATGAAATAGAGACATGGGCAGCGTTACAAACAGAATGAGACCAAAATAGACAACTCGGTATACGGACTGATCCGTGAGTATAAACAATATGAGCACCGCTCCGGCCAGAGCTGCAAATACAATGAGCACCACGACCAATACTATCACGCCGGGCAAAATAAACATGGGCAGCCATGCTCCCTGAAAATAGCACACAGCGAGAACTATTAGGGCCGCAACGAGCGCCACCGAGATGTTTTGTATCGATCGCACTGGTAGCAACAGGATCACACTCATCGCGACGGTCTCCACAAAGAGCCAGGCAAAGATGTAGCCGAACCAGCGATTAGAGCGCAGCTTTAAGCAGAAGGTAAGCATCATTAGCGCTGTGAAGGCCAACATCAGACATATAAATCCAGGCAGCACAAATAAGCCCTTCTGCTTCACCAGGAGGGTAAACAGCAGCCATTGGAACACCGTGATGATCATAAAGATGCCGGCCAACAAATAGCAACGGTTCATAAAGTTGAACACCTGATATATGTCATCATTCTCGGCAGGCGGCACCTCGTTTGGCTGCAGGAAGTGAACTAGCGGTCGTTGTTGCTGCTCTAATGGCGGTTCATGCGGCAGCTCTGGCTGGCCCGGAAAGTGATGTAGCGGCAGCTCGTAGGGCCATAAATCCCAATAGCGTCTCGAATTCCAGCTGAACATTTTTCCAACTGGGTTGACTAGAAATTTTGACAGTATAAGCTTGCCTTCAGCTGTTTTGGTGCTCAGCCTTAAAGCTGGGCTCGCCGTCTCAACAAATCTAAAGCAGAGGTATTGTTTTGGATTGGTATATATATAAATTATGGCTTATATTTGTTTATCTTGTTTATCTTATCTACCTATGGTCTCGTCAGGGACACTGTGTGGCAGTTGAATAAGATTTTGAAAGCTCCGGTTTTTTCATTTTATTTTATTTTATCAACCATTTTAAGAGGCCTTCACAATCATATCTCCTTATAGTATTTAATATTTTTGGCCATAGAGCAGATATTTATCAAATTATAGAAATGATATCTTATTTAACTATAATAAAAGTAACTTTTTAATACATAAGGCTAACCAAATAAGAAAGATATATTGCATTTAATAATATAAATAATAACTGGCGGAAATAATTTCAATAATTATAATTTTTAAAAACTGTATAAGTATTGGATAAATATTATAGTAAATTTGATGCTTTGTTAATAAGTATTATATAATTTAAAATGCACTGAATACGCAATAAGCCTTTCAGACATCTGTCTTAATTCAAAAAGCCCTATCACATAGTTCTATCTTTATTTATGTATCTTTTGGCCAAATGTTTCGGTTGTAACTCATTGTGGTGCCTCGCCCCGATTGAGTGTCATGAAAAGGCGCTCTGCTGGCAGCGGAAAATGCAGTGAAGCATGCACAAATCAACAACAACAACAGAGACAGTTTGGGAAATGCTAAGTAGCAACGATCAAAGCTAACAAAACAGCCACAAAGGATGCAGCGATAATAAGGACAACGAGGACTGCTGCATATGGCAAACGCGCGGCTCTCCCTATTTTCAGGCGCTGCTTAACAATGTTTGTTGTTATTTGGCTGATCGCTTGAATGCCGCGCAATGGATATAAGTAAGAAGGAAGTGTATCTTTGAGATGCGCGTACCGCCGCATCTGCGGCCTCCATCACGAATCACGATCACTTTCACAGACGGCGGTCGCGGCATTGTCTAAAAAAATGACTCAATCAGTTGGCTGCTGCTTATCCTTGATCCTGCTAAACACATGCAAATGCTTTTCCATTTCCAGCAGACAGTTGGCAAAGGGCTAACAACGACTCACAGGAAACAGCAGCTGCATTTGATATGATATTTCCCTACTTACTTACCGAGTGCTTCTAATGCCACCCTAAGCACATCAGACTTTTCAATCAAACTGTTAACTTTACATATTTCATTGATCTTCTGCTCACGTAAATGGAGTCCTTTTTTCTTAAAACATATTATTGGGTAAACAACATTTTAAAGATAATCAATTACACATTTCCTTCGTTTATTAAATTATATTCTTTATGTAAGCATGTATATATATTGCTTTAGGGACATCCATCTTTATATTGCTTTATATTTTTATTTATAAAAGTCTCTTATGGCCTTGTCTGAAACATTAGTATATCCATTTCTACCAAACTGAGATTTAAACTTAATGTCTAGCTACAACATATACAAGTTTATTAAATTTTTTTACATATGTCATAAAATGCCATAATAAGAACTTCATCAAGATCAGCTTTCCAGCAACTCTTAGTTCAACTATATAAACTAGTTGAGGTCAATGTACGGCAAGAATTCTTGAATTGACAAAAAACTTGGAAAAAGTGAAAGCGCGCCGGCAAGTGCTTGACAACGTCACGACATGCAAACGAATGCAGTGGAGCAGGCAGCAAGAGGGAGGGTTAGGGCAGGGGTATAGAGTTGCCGCTGCTGTCCGGCCACATGACACACATGCAACAAACTTCCGCATTAGTTTGTTTGAATGCTAGTTGGGATTGGGGCACATTGAATTTTGCATGCGAGCCATGCGAGGGCCAACAACATGAAACGCTTCGGGCCACAAAAAGCACAGTCCAAAAAGCTCACAGAAGCGTAACGAACGAGGCACACACAGTTACACATACACTCACACACACACACACACACACACACACGTTTACATAAACAGATGCAGACACAGATGAGCAGAGACGTCCGCTTCAGGCGTGGGTCAGTGGAGAGCTTGGGCACAGGTTCATATATATCTAGTCTCTATGTGCTGTCTGTACAATTTATAATATTCTATTAGTTCCACGACCCGAACTCTCGAGCTCGAGCTGGAGACCGAGCCGGCGAACGACGCTGTGGCAGTGGCAGCGGCAGTGGCAGCGCAGTTAGCGCAGATAATACATCCGTTTCCGGTTAAGCCCATATTTTTGTGTCATTTAGCGAGTAGGCAGCAGAGTGTGGAGCAGGAGGGGCAAGAGTGGCAGAGCGAGTGCGACTGGAACAGACAGCTACAGATGCTGATGGCTAGACAGTCACAATGCCACTGACATGCAGCTGGCGGGTTAATGCTAACGGGAATGGGCACGAATCTGGGCAGGGGGTTGGGGCCTCGGCCTGGGCACGGGCCTGGCATCAAGTGATGCGACAAGTGCAGTCGACGCTGCAGCGTTGCTGGAGCGGAATTGTCAACGCTTCCGCATATTTCTCATTTCCACAATTAAACATTTGCGAGTTTAACGTTATGGAAAATGCGACGCCCAACTCCCCCAAGGGTTGGCACAAATCAAGCTTGGGGTTGTCCGTGTAGGCCTTATCGGGGTTGTGGGCTGGCGGGTCGTTACTTTGCCCTGTTTCTTAGATAAATCAAAGCTGCAATTAATAATGCAGTTTCGGTTGGTCAGGGGTTGTCAATTTGCTGCACCCCTGGACGGGAAGCTCAAATGGAGCTTGGCGCTTGAAATGCCATGTAATTATGTGCCCCTCCCGCACCTGCTGCAAGTTACAGCGGAAGTTACGCTGTGCTTTGTGCATTGCCCCCGCACGCCTGTCTGGCACCTTATCTGCCTGTGTGGCAATACGAAATTTCCTCATCTGGCTGCATTTTTAGGAGGCAGCTGTTAATGAGCCACGCACGTGACTGTTGCAGCAGCTGTTCTCTTGCGATTCACAGGTGAGCTTTCTAGTGAATCACCGGCATAGCCAATGCCTGCTGTGCAAACATTCGAATACTCGTAAATAGCTTGGTTCGCACTCATGAATATGTGCAGGTAAACAATTGTCGAATTCCGTAATGTGAGTGAACAGCAAAGCGTGTTGATTATAATCGATCAATAAACATTATTATGTAGAATTGTTTATTAGCAAAAGACTATTTTAATAAAAAAAATTAACGAAAAATAATCATTTATTTAATAAGTTTATATACTTGTTAATATACAAACCAAGCAATATATGTGTATGTAAATACATATATATTTAACCTACCCTTTAACCTACACACCAAAAATGCAAATTTATACAACAATTGAAAGGGAAGTTCAGATCAAACGTAAAGAATGACATGCAGCAACAACAACAACGGCATAGAATTTATGCCGCTAATATAAATGTTAAAAAAATAAATTAGCGAAATTCCGGAAATTGTAACAAATTAACATTGGTGCGAATGTAATTAGTAACGCTGTGTTGGGTGGGTGTTTTTGAATGCCCTGTACTTA